TTCAAATACTGATTTATTTTTATTATTTTCTTATTTGTTAGGGTTTAATCAACACAAACATTGCTAAATGCTGTGTTGAACCCTCAAAGACTTCAAAACCTGAACCAATAAGTAAGAAAGAACTTAAAATTTTGTCTAATCAAAAAAAATTTCTTCTTATTCTTCTTAAAATTTTGTCCAACCAATTAAGGAAGAACTTAAAATTTTTCTTTTCCTCTTTTCCTATAACAAAAATAAGGGTTCAGCCTCTAAATTTTTTTAATTTTCTTTTCTTTCTTCTTTTTCTTCTCATGAATATGTTGAATTTCTGTACTTCAACATGAACTTTATACTTTTCTTATGAATAATTATTAAGGAAATATGATTATGGTACCTAGGGAACTACCCTAGGATCTATGTTTTTTACTTAAAAAAAAAAATCCATCACCTAGGCAACTAGGCGACAAGGTGCCCCCCTGTCACCTAGCCTTGCCTTGGCGCCGTGAAAACTACGCTAGTACAGCTCTTCCCTACATTTCTCTTCCTTCCTACACCATCCAACTTTTCTCCTCTCTTCATATCACAATGAAGTTTCTTCAGCTCCCTTGGACCAGGGGTGTAGAGAATTTCCTTCCTGCAATAAGAAATTCCTTATACTCCATTTCTTTCCCTTATTATCCAAAGTATCCATCCCTAACCTATCTTCCATCTAAGCAACTTCCCCTATTTTCATCTTCCTTTTTGTCTCTCTAGGCCTTTAAAATCTGAACTAGGTTATCTGGACATGAAGGATGTTTGATAGGAGCATTTACTCCATTCTTAGTACCTGTCAAGTGCCAAAGAAGATGAGGCAAGAATGCAAGATGAGATATTGAGGAGCAGGCTGGAATGCTAGAAATCGTTCTCATCCTTAATTCCAAGAGGAGAGAAGGCTTGAACCTCAGGTGGGGCTTTTCGTGTGTGTTGAGCATGCTACTCTTCAATCTTAAATAGAGTTGCAATGTCCAGTGTGTACCATCCTTCAAGAGCTTTCTCAAGCAAAAATAAGAGCCGCTTTTAACAAAAGTACAAATTCCTCTTTTAACCATTCTTCATGAGCCTGGGAAGTATGAATCAACATATGAAAATAATGAAGGTGAAATCATTGCTTCCCACTCTTTCAACGTTGCACCCATCAATGGTCATCAAAGATGTCAAAATTGATTCCAATCATGAGGACACTTTTGAAGGATCCAAAGTCACTTTTCTTAGTTTTCAAATATGTCCAATTCCAACTAAATTTTTGGTTTGCCATGTTCCATGTTGAGGACCATTCTAATTCAATCGTCATTGGAGACAGACTCCAAGATTCATCCTATGGTTTGTGTTAAATTTCACTATGTACCAATAAAAAAAAAAGTGTGAAGAAGGCAAAGAACTATTGATTGTTAAGAAGTTGAGAATAATTTGCGATCCTAGTAGAGCTTAGATGCTGAAGGCAAGATCTTTTATGGAATATCACGTATCTAGTAGGGACTAGGGGTTTTTTTCTAAGTAATGGTTAATGGATTAGTACATTGTAGTTTGTGGTTAGTGGACTAAGGTTAAATGGGATATTACATGTATTAATGGATTCTTTCAGTTTCTTGGATTCTAAAAGTTGATTTTATTGTTCAATTGAGTTATGAATGAAGAAAGATTTTGTTTTAGGAGGGCAAACATTGTCAAAGTGTTTAAGGAGGTCCGACCCCCTCAAATTGGTCTTCTTCCCCTTTTCTTTAGATTTCCTTATTTTTCTATCAGCTTAAGAAAGCCATGTATCATACTTACACTCAATAAATGTCTTAAATTGCATGTAAAATAAACCACCAATTTCTCTATTTCAAACTGTACATTTCGATTCAAACCTGTTAGTCCCAAAAACACAATAAAATCTGATTTCACCTTCAGAATACACCATTACGATGGTAAAATGCAATACTCTACTACACGAAGAGATTTGCTAGTGGTCAATCCTATCTCAACAGAACTCGGAATAGCAGCAAGAATAAGCTAGAAATAACAGAAAACATCAAGGCAACTAAACTAAGCAAAGGCAAATAACACGAGCACCACCAAAAACACAAAGGATTTACATGGTTCGGCCTTACCACTTGCATCCACAGGAAAGACAAAATTATTCTTCACAATGAAAGAAAATGGGAAACAATACAGGAAACTTGTGGCTTGCAACCCAAACCAATCCTTAGCCCTTATACACCCATTTTCCCTTCCCTCTCTCAACCCGAAGAACAAAAACAAGAGAAAAAAACTCCACTCTTGCACCAATGACATACAAGGTTTAAAGTATTGATATGTATTGGCCCGTATCAGTAGCTTCCCGATACGCCCCTACAGGGGTTGTATCGGGTCAGACCACGGTTCAGAGGGTAGTTGGGGCTTAAACCAACCCCTCTAAACCAATTTTGAAAAAATAAATAAATAAAACATAAAAAAAAAAGTACTGATACAAGTCAATACACCGGTATCGGCCTATGTCGATACTTTGAACCTTGATAACACACACTCTCTCTATCAACCCTACATACAAAAGAAACCTTTTATATGTAAAACTAACATAAAGAGTAACCACACCAACAGTTAGATTAAAAATAATCTAGCAATTAAAAAATAAGATACAACCCCAATGATCCCCACCTTGGCTTGTTTTCCAACCACCTTGGAGATCTTCTATTTGTGTCTTTACATGTTCACAAATACCACAAATCTCCATTAGTCTTGTAAAACACCACTACCTACACATAACCTGAATCACTCGGTCCTGACTCCACCTTATTCAAACAAAACGGCCAATGTACCTGTGTAACTACACCCAAACTAACAGTCCTAGTTAACTCCAGAGAGGGACCTCAATCCTTCCTCTCTCCCAGCAAGAATATTCATCTCTCCGTCATTTTTACCTTGGAAACTTGTAGCACTTGTCTCCGCTCTTTCTCCGAAAGAGACTCTATGTGTGGCCACACTACCTTATGCACTCTGTTTCCAACATCCCATTGAAATCATGAGAGCTATTGTACTCCCAACGAGATGATATAAACCCTTGCATTTTTTCCCTTCATCAGGACCATATCGCCATGTGTGATTTTCATGACTCCACTTGCAACAAAGACCTTGCAACCCTTGGAATCCAACCGGCTCAGTGATATTAGATTCCTACGCATTTTGGGGGCATACGCCACACCACCCAAAGTGCAAACCACTCCATCAAACATTTTGACTTTTGTTGTCCCAACACACGTAATGTCACGCGTAGATCCATCACCAAAGGAGACAACGCCTGTCTTCATCTCTTGAAACGTATCAAAATATTCCTTCTTGGAGTAAATATGCATAGAACACCCGAAATCTAAACCCACTCATTTGGAGAAAAATTACATATACCTTTGAAGACTGTGAGAACGTCTCCATCATCATCCGATGCAATTGTCATGCTTCAAAGCTCATCTCCACCCTTTTTTCGTGCAAGACGATCTCTCTTTATATGACCAAATTCCTTGCATCTGTAACATTGTATTTGGCCCTTTTCCTTAGCCTTTGATCTAGACCTACCATTCTTAGATCCCTTGTCAGACGACCTTCCTTTCTGATCTATTTCTTTTTTTTTCTTTTGATAAATTTCCTTTCCGATCCGTTTCCTACATAACCAATGCAGAATCCTGCCCACTCTCATACTTGGACTTCCTCCTAACCTCATTGGATAGGAGAAATGTGGTGACTTCTTCCAACTTCACTGAATTTTCATACAAATCAGGAAGCACGGGTAAGAAGTGAAAGGGCCTTGTCTTCTTCCTCCACCTTGACATCAACTTTCCCTAGATGATCAAATATATTGTTCCAACACATTTAGGTGTTCCAAGAGATTCCCACCTTCTACCATCTCCAGCCTATACAATTGTCGCTTCAGATATAACTTAGCTTTTTCCCGAATAGAGTTTCTCTAGCTTGTCCTACAACTCCGATGCAGAATCTTCCTCCATAATGTTAAACATAACATTATCAGTCAAGAGCAATCGAATCATATTAACGCACCTTGACTCGATGTCCTCCCAATCAGCATCCTTCATGTCATCTGGCCTCCTATCATTTTGCTTCAACGCTCTGACCAAGCCTTGTTGAATCAAGATGTCCTTCACCCTCCTTTGTCATAACGTAAAGCTGCCTTTGTCATCTAACCTCTCAATCTAGAACTAAGAACTTGTGCCTTTTGTTGCCATTATCTCTTAGGCAATTTCACAAACACCTTGTGAACACCAATCTTGCTCTGATACTAGTTTGTTGGTCTCGAACACACAATCAAATCGGATTTCTCCTTCAGAATACGCTATTACAATGGTAAAATGCAGTATTCTAGAATTGCAGTACCCTATTGCTAGTAGTTGACTACTACACGAAGAGATTTGCTAGTAGTCGACTCCTATCTCAACAGAACTCAGAATAACAGCAAGAATAAGCTATAAATAACATAAAAACATTAAGGCAACCAAGCAAAGGCAAATGAAATGAGCACCACCAAGAACACAAAGGATTCACGTGGTTCGGCCTTACCGCCTACATCCAAGGGAGAGACTAAATTGTTACATTGTTCTTCACTGTGAAAGAAAATGAAAAATGGTAGAGGTACATTATGGTTTGCAACCCAAACCAATCCTTAACACCTTTGTACACCCGTTCTCACTTTCCTCTCTCAATCCAAAGAACAGAAACAAGAAAAAAACACTCAAATCTTACACTAAAAACACTCTCTCTCTCTCAACCCTACATACAAAAGAAACACTTTTATATGTAAAACCGTCTTAAGAGTAACCACACCAACCCAGCAGTTGAAAAATAAGACAACCCCAACAACACTACAAGGTTGTGTAGATTTGCTATATCAAACCCTGAGAATTAGAACTACTAAGCCATTATAACTTAACAATCAAGGAAAAAGATGCATATATTCTTAGTCCTACGATGATGAATACAAGTTGACAGACAGATACCTTGAGATTGATAAGGTTGGGCACGGAATTCTGGGTGTGCTGTTGCACGTAGAAAAGGCCCACCGAGGGTTCATTTGCCACGTACTTTATCATTTCTGCTAAGCCTTCGTTCACTGCCCAGGCAAAGAAAGAGAAATACAGACGAATTAGATATGAACCAACACCCAAATTTCCATGAATGAAATACAATAGAGTCGCTTAAATTAAGTTGGTTGTGAGAGAGGTTAATACCGTCCATGAAGCCATCGACAGTCGGGAATCCATGCATCTTGCTGAACGAGAATGGTCGTTCATCACTGGTTCTGCCGAATTATGCGACTAGAGAGAGACCTTTATTAAAGAAAAGAAAATCAGTAGAAAAGGAACGGAGGAACGGAAGAGGAGGAGGAGGAGGCCGGACGGAGAGAGGAGAGGGGTTCCGAATCGTCTCGCCACGTTACCTTGCTTTCACTTTACCAATTACCATCATTACCTGGCCTTCCTTCGCCTTTCAGTCTTCAACCAGAGAATGACCGTACCTGTATTCTACGGAACCTTCTCCCCAGAAAAACTCTACACGCACCCTGAAAGCATTGATTAACATCGACCCGCACATCACGGGGGACGAGATATTCCTAATGTGAGGTGGATGCGGGTGCCCGACGGTGAGTACAGAATTGCGGGCAAGGAACCGGGCCCGTATTAAGTACGGGGTAATTATACCTATAAATTATTTTGTTTTTTAGTACGTGTTTTGCATGTAATAATTTTATATGATGATAATGATAATAATAATAATATATTTAAAATTTTTTATAAATATTATATATTTTTTATTTTTATTATTAATCAGATGTAAATTATAAAATTCAAATTTGATTACATATACATCTTATTCAAATATGGGGATAGTTGGATCAAGTTGTGAAATTTCAAATATCATTGGTAGGCCTACGGCTAGATTCTTCTTTTTTGTAATATTTTACTTCTTTGTTGTATCTTTTTTTATTTATTATCAAATATTGTAAGATTTAAATAGAGGTAATTGAATGATGTGAAAAAAATAGTAGTTCAATTTACAATTAAATGGGGATTAAATTCAAAAATAAGTATTTTAGTCAAAAGAAAGTTCCATAATCTTATTCATATTTTTAATAGTGTTGTAAATATCGAATTATATATGTGTTCAATTTTTGCTATATTTTTTGGTAATTTTGTGTGTAAACATATTTTTGATATGTCACACTTACTTTTTGTTTAATATGATAAATATATGATATTATACATGTGCTTTAATTTTTTTCTATTTTTTATTTTATTAATTTTTATTATTTATTTATTATATTAAAAGGTTAATAAATTTAACCCAAAAGTTTAACTATTTATTATTAATTTTATATTTCATTATAAATAAAAATAATTCTTATTTATTACACTTATTTTTTAATTTGATTAATAAAAACATCATAAATGTGTCTAGTTTTTTCTATATTTTTGTAATTTTCTATATTTATTTATATTTTAAATTTTTCATTACCTTACTATGACTTCATAGGTTTATCAATTTGATTCAGATAGTTGAATTGTTTAGCCACAGCTTAGATAATGAATGGTTTTGTTTTTTAGTCAATGTTAAAATATATGGGTTTATATTGTTAAAAATATTGACATGGATCTAATTATTAACATTCATTAGTGAAAAATAACTTAAATATAGGATTTAATAAGAAAATATGAGATTTAAATACCTTAAGTATAAGACTTAATGAAAGGGGAATAAATAAGGTGGAAAGCAATAATTGAAGTTACATTTTCAACCCTTACAATTAGATATTAACTAAGTACATAAATACGGGCATTTTAGTAGCCATAGAGCTATAACAAAATGACTTATAGCCTTTCTCGGACAAAAAAATATAGGGTAATCTTAGTCCAAAAAAAGTTCATGCTACACCCACGCTTTTCTATATGGTATAGATTCGGTGCTATGCACCATTTATATACTTCCCCCTAACCCTTTTTCCCCAAAGTATTGGTTAAGGGATTTGATTTTGTGTCAAAGTTGGAACAAACTAGCTAATACACCAACAAGTCAGCTCTTGGTTGGTATAAATAGTTATGTTTGTGATATTAGATATATTATCTTTCATTTAAATTTTTACTTAATTTAAAAAATAAATCATATTTAATTTGTAATTCGTGTAGAATATTTGTGGGGAGGACACTTAAGGCGTGTGGGTTTGTAGGATTTTGAGAGGGGGAAAAGTTGGTTAATGAGAATCCATGTTTGTTTTAATATTTATGTAGGATCCATGAAAAATTTATTTTCCCTCGGAGAAATTTTCAACAATCAGATGGGATACAATTGCCCCTTTTAATAATGAATTTTTTATGGTTAAAATGGTCATTGTCTCATGTACTTAAGAAATATAAGAACGCGGATAAATGCACTTACCCATGTAAATAACTTATCAAAAGCGAACGGGGCCTTTGTAATACAAGTACGACCATTTTTTTATAGTTGTAGGTACACAGTGGTCACTAAGACCATCAGAGTACAAAGGGTGTCAAACCAACACTACACAGATGCTTGTGATGAAATCATAATCCATTGCACATTTGCGATGAACTCATACCTGAAACATGTTGCGATGAGCTTCAGCCTACGCAAATATGCAATGAATCTTAGACACGCGTGAACTTGCAATGAGCTTTAGACACACGCAAATCCGTGATGAACTTCGAACAGGTGTAAAATTACTATAGATCGGGAATAAATATCAGAAACACGTGTCTTTAAAATTACACGCGTGATGGGACGCCCCGTGGATCTAGTAAAGGCAAGCAATGCAATAAATAACATCACACGCACCATGTCTATTTAAAAAGGATCACAAAAGGAAGTATAACACATTGATTATGAGAATCCTCTGACGAAAGTAAAGTTCGTCCTTGAGATATCTCATAAGACACGTGGCGAAACCCTGATGATGCTCCCTTAATAGTCAACATAAAGAAAATACCACATTTCTTAATAATAAATGTTTTGTTTTTAATTTTTTTTCCTTATAGACTTAGTTTAACTTTATAAAAAGGGGGAACAACTCTTCCCTGTGAGGACAAGATCATGTAACCTTGACCTAGGGTTTCTCAAAAGGGGACTCTCCCTTCTCTCCCCTCTTCTCCTCTCTTCCCCACGTTATCTCTCTTTCTCGTCACCTTCTTCGGACTTTTAGAGACTTAACCAACCTCTGCATCCTTACCATCTCACCAATAATAGTTAAACAGGTTAAATCAGATAGTACAAATATGTATTATTTGCATCTAGAATCCACCAAGGGTAACTATCAAAAAAAACAAAATAAAAAAGGTTATGGTTTAATTTTTTTATTGTCAAGCGACTAGGTGAGTTGGGATATTAAACTTTTGGTTTACATGATAAAAAGAGAAGGAGATGAGTGGCACAATAAACTTTTGATCTTTGACAAAAGTCATAGGCAAGACCAAGGAAGAGTAAACCCAAATTACAGGACTTGTAGAAATTTGAGCAGTATGTTGGATTCCTTGCAAAATAGCATAAAATTCAGCTTCATCCACAAGTTCCAAGCTTTGAGACTTTTCATCCACTATACCTAGACAATACGAGGAATTGGATAAGCAAATAATGCCAAAAGAGCAAGTATTTGAAAAATTCAAATACTATAATAATTATTTCATTATTAATATTTTTATTTTTATAAAAATCTAAAATAAAAAATATATTTTTTAATATAAATATAGATTAGTGGATTTGATAGATTTAATTTATATTACATTTTTAAACATTTTATAAATAATATTTTTTTGTGAATAATAAATATATGGTTATTTAATGCAAATTAAAATATTAATAAATAAATTATACAAATTTTGAGATATATATCATGTGCAAATTAGTAAATTTTAAGTATTAAAATAATTATTATATTATTAATATTTTAAAATTTATTTAAATTAAAATCAACTTTTTGATATAAATGTGGATTTGGTAGATTATTTATTCTATTAGTTTATAAAATATTAATTTTAAATATTATTCTTTTTAATTTGTAATTGGAGTTGTTGAAGATAAGTGTATATTGGTTGTTGGGATTTTATGTAGATATTAAGTAATAAAAGTTAGTGTATTCCATTTATTAACACGAAATTAATATTGGCTTAGTGGTTAAAGATGCATTGTTATTCGACGCTAGGCGGGTTGTGGTATATGATTCATGTCACATAGGCTGCGTTTTTTTATAATGAAGTTGTTAAATAGATGTTCGATATGCTCCTGTATCAATGCGTATTGGACTGTATCAATGGACACACGATACACATCGATACGATAGATGCATGACCGGAAAGATACATTTTCAATCGTATCCCATGTCGGTATGACCCAATACTGATATGATACGCTCCTGTATCAATGCGTATTGGACTGTATCAATCGACGCACGATACACATCGATACGATAGATGCACTGGAAAGATACATTTTCAATCTATCCGATATCGGTATGACCCAATACTGATATGATACGCTCCGTATCACGCTATATCATATATATATTTTAATCCTTGCAAATTATATGTAAATATGCAGTTTACCGTAAAAAAAAGTGTTGGAGAGATTCTTTTTTTTCTTTAACAGCATCCAGTCGTACATTGGGAACATCTCCACCGAATTACAGATCTGCTAAATTGATAGGAGATGTTCCCGATATACGGCGGGATGCGCGTACTTGCAGTTGCAGTCTTGCAGAGAGAGTGTGCCGAGTTTTGTTTGCTGGAGATCCTGTCGCCAACGCGTAACGCACAACCCCGCCCCGTTCTCTCTTTCTAAATTTAAGCTGTTCGCCACTTTCCGTCATTGTCTCCAAATCCCCATCTCCCTCAACACGCATCCTATCACCGCCATCATCATACCGCCTCCGTCTCTTCTTCTTTGAACACTCTCTGTCTGTCTGTTTCCGTCTTCCTCTCCCTCCCTTTCTCTCTCTCTCTCTCTCTCTCTCGCTCGCTCGTCACGGTGGCGAGCGGTGGAAATGAACGTTGGGAGTGACGATGAAGATGACGATGACGATGACGATGCCGCTTAACCATAGTAGCAACCACAACCACGAGAAGAATCAAACCCGGTCCTTGTCTCGAACACGGATCCGTCGATGGCGAAAAGGCCACACCGGCACTGCTGTCGTTGCTGTGGTGGCTCTCCTCATCTCCACCACTGCATGGTTGTCTCTCGTCTTCTCCGGCACCACCACTAGATGCTGGCACCATTTCAAGGATTGGGAGGGAAGCCCCCATCACTCTTTCCCCTGGCATAAACACTATCACTCCAATGCTCTCTCTTCACACTCCTCTCATCCCCCTCCCCCTTCAATCAAAACGCCCATCCGCAGAAACACCAGTACTGCCACCATGGTCGCCACAGCGAAGGAAGAGTTGTCCCTGAAGCACATAGTCTTCGGCATTGCCGGTTCGAAGCAGCTGTGGAAACGCCGCAAAGAGTTCGTCAAGCTGTGGTGGCGTCCCAAGGACATGCGTGGTCACGTCTGGTTAGAAGAAAACTTCGGCAACGATCACGATGACAATAACGGTGACGGCGACGATGATTCATCTTCATTGCCGCCTATTATGGTGTCTGAGGACATCTCGCGGTTCCGCTATACCAATCCGACGGGCCATCCTTCCGGCCTCCGGATCGCGCGGATAATCATGGAATCCTTCCGGCTCGGATTATCTGATGTACGTTGGTTCGTATTGGGGGATGACGACACAATCTTCAATCCCGATAATCTGGTCGATGTTTTGAACAAGTACGATTCGTCGGAGATGGTTTACATTGGTAGTCCTTCGGAGAGCCACTCTGCGAATACCTATTTCAGTCATTCCATGGCTTTTGGTGGTGGTGGGATTGCTATAAGCTATCCGCTTGCGGAGGCACTTTCAAATAATCTGGACGAGTGCCTTGAGAGGTACCCGAAACTATACGGTAGTGATGATCGTCTCCATGCCTGCATTACTGAAATTGGGGTTCCTTTAACGAGAGAACATGGGTTTCATCAGGTGAATTCAGTGTTGTATTTCAGATTACAGTCTGGATTTTACCTTTTATACTTGTTCTTTATCCCATTATAGTTGTTGTCTTCATCTTGTGCTTGTTCTTATCTCTCTTATCGTTGTTGTAACTATTAATATTATATCTGCAGTGGGATATCAGGGGCAATGCTCATGGTCTTCTCTCCGCTCACCCAATTGCGCCTTTTATCTCAATTCATCATGTTGAGGCTGTTGATCCTTTCTATTCTGGCATGAGTTCCCTCGAGGGTCTGAAACTTTTTACAAGGGCCATGAGAGCTGATCCCAGGGTTTTTTTGCAGCGGTCAATTTGTTACGATCGAATCCGGCGGTTAACATTCTCGGTCTCTCTAGGTTATGTTGTTCAGGTGTTCCCAAACATTGTGCTTCCGCGGGAGTTAGAGCGCTCAGAGCAGACTTATTCTGCTTGGAACCGAATTAGTCACAGGAATGAGTTTGATTTCGACACTAGAGATGTCCATGGATCTGTCTGTAAGAAGCCAATCCTTTTCTTCTTGAAGGATGTATGGAAAGATGGAAATGCTACTATGGCTACATATAGACGAACTAACGGGAGTGATGATCTGAAAAGAAAGGTCTTCTGCTTTCCTCGATCCCTTCCTTTGCCTCGTGTCCAGAATATTCAGGTTCTGGGATATCCACTTAGCAAGACCTGGCATCTGGTGGGTCTTTTGATTTTCTTTGATATAGCACAAGTCAAAACTACATATATATTTATATATATATATATATATCTATATATATATATATATATATTCTCTAATAGTAATGCGTTCTCGGGTTTTTTTTTTTTTTGTTTTTGAAAATGTATGGGACTTATTTGGTCTTGTATATTCTTGTTCAGATGCCCCGGAGACTCTGCTGCAAAGTAAACCAAACCACCGATCAATTTCTTAGACTTACAGTCAGGCAATGTGAGAGGGGGTATTCTGGTTTTCTTGATGAATCTGTGTGAATTTTGATGGACCATTGACGTATGGTTTATTCTCTCTTCTTCTGGGATGAAGTTCAATTCTGAAGGGACTTCTCTTTAATGTGCTTCAGTTTCAGCTCAAATTTGAACTTTACTTCTCGTTTATGATCAGCTGGCCTTTGGCATTTTGGAAAGCCTTTTTTGTAGGTTGTGGATATATAGAGGAAGTTCTCATGTACACAGTTGAGTCAAAGAAAATGGAGATGTAGACACCAGCCCCAGGAATTGTATTCTTTGCCTTCGTTTTTTTCTCAGAAGGTATTTAATTATAATCTAAGATTTGATGTTTGACAGTTGCTAATGGAGTTACTTATGCTAGTAGTTGTACTCAATCCTGAAGATACTGTGGAAGGTAATATGATCAGTAGTGATTCTTTCTCCACAAATTTTTCTCTTTCTTGATTTCTTATATTAGTTACATGCTGGATTTCTTAGGCATGATACTTGTGATAGACCAGAGTGGCAATAGAGTTAAAGCTGAGATTTAGAAAATGAGTTTTTAGAAGTCATGGAAGACGTTCAGATACTTGGATAGAAATTGGCAGAAGTCTCTAGAGTAATCCTATTCATTTTCTATTAGGAGAGTGGGTTCCTTTATTTGATTCTTTCGTATAACTAGATGAATTCATAATATATGAAGGTCTGTCTTCCAAACAGACTGGGCTCTTTAACAAGGATCTCTTAATTGAAAGTATATAGGCTTGGCTGTCAAACTAATTATTCTGAGGCCCAGACATTCTATAGTAATGCAACATAGCTTATGAAATTGAATGTATCTGTGAATGGGCAAGAAGTTTGAGTAAAACCAAAGAAATTTCCAATAGATGGAGGTCAAATGAAGAACAAGGATCTATGTTGGGTGGAAACAAGTGCCAAACATTAGTAGGGAGGTTTCGTTGTTAGGAAAATTACGAATGAACTTCCTCTCGACAAAGTGCTTCATCCACATTTGAACTGCATAGCCTTTATGTTTTCCATTATTATCAACTTCCCATTGTTTTCTTATTACATTTTGTATGATGTTAACCTACTCTTAGATTATAATTCCGAGAACAAGTTTGGTTTGGGGACAATGTGGGGAAAAATAGGCCACTGATGAAAAACCTTTTCTCAAACTCAATGTTGGAACGATGAAGAAGTAAAGAGATATTGTGAAGGTAAATTGGGCAAGGATTTGGGGAGAAAGAGATAGGGAATTTGTTTGGATGCTACAGTAAGAGGGGACAAAACAAAAAGTAAAATCCCTTTGAAGTCAAAAAGAATTAAAAAAAGTAATGGTCAGTTGGTTCATACTAAGGAAAGTCAAGTGGCTAACAAGAAATGTGACAACCAGAATACAATGGGTTAGCAAGTCAGCTAATGCTATGACTGATGTCTTAAGCTAAATAAGGGGCTTTTAGTGATTCTCTCTTTGTGGCTGATTTGTAATTTTAATTTTTGAGATTCTTGGACTCAAGGGTCAGGCTGCATCCCGCGCTCCCCTAGGGAAGCTTGTAACAGTCAATCTTTTGCTAATAAAACCTTTTCATTTATAAAAAAAAGATCAGTTGGTTCATATAATGCATGTTCTCTCATCAGGAAGAGGCTGGAAGTTAAAGATAGATTTGATACTGAGGAAGATGGAGGTTTATCACATCAACCTCTTTGAAGATGGGGGGTTCCGTTCCTAATGAAATACAACCTAGGGATTCAGAATCAGATCATGATAAGAATGTTTCAGATCAAGAGGAAGGTTTGGAGTTGCAGGATAGTGATGATGATCAAATTGTGGATCAAGTAAGAGAGGCTGAGAAGAAAATTGGGCTGGAACTTGGAAGAACTGAAGTTGTTGAGGTGGATGTCGGAGTGAGTAAAATTATGGGGCTTTTCTTCTTTGGTGGGGAAAAGTTTGCAAGAAAAACTTTCATGGAATTGGAGAAGGGAATGGAAGATATGGTCAGTGAGTAAGGAGGTTGAGGGAGAGGGGAGGGGAAAGAGGGATGCATTTCAAACGAATTGGGGATATGTTGTTTGGGCAAGGGGTGTGATGGGTTGGGTTTCTTTGAGTTTTATTTTCTTGTCTTTGTGCTGATATCGTGGGCAAGATTAAGTGTTTGTCCGGTGATTGTAGGTTGTTTTCTTGTTTAGTTTTTTTTGAGGGTGATCTCTCATCACCTGGCATTGTATGCTTCATTTCCGTTTTTAATAATTTTTTTTTTGTTTATCTTCAAAAAATTGTGAAGGAAACCTTAATTGACCTTGAAGATTTATAAGAAAAATGACCGAATGTCTTTATGTTTTAAACTTAATGTTCCAAAAACAACTTGCTACACACACTTATTGGCCAACCTGAAATTTCATCTCTTAAATTTGTCTAAAGGGGGAACCTTTTCTAGAATGGACAACCATATGAAAGCCTCAACTTTTATGGGAGTTGAAGATCCCTAAATCTAACCAACCTTACCCCTTCATGAGATTCAAATGATCCTTTACCAACTTGTTATAGAAGGATTTAGTTCTTTCTAGATATGCTGGTCTTCTTTATATGGATCTGTTAGAGCTTTTTTCCAAACAATTGATTAGCTGTTCATTCTCCTTGATCTCCCTATGGAGCAAGGGTTTTTAGGAGGGATTCTACAGATCATTATGCCTTATCCCAAGGCATGAGTTGGGTGGTCTGGGTATAAGGAGATTTCAAGATCTAAATAAAGCTTTGCTTGGCAAGTGGTTATGGAGATTTGGAAAGGGGGAGATGCTTTCTAATGTTTCATTAAACGCATATACCATCATTTCCCCTGCTTGCATTTATTGAAAAGATCATGTGGTGCAAGCATGCTTTAAAATGTCAGGAAATGTTGGAAATATTGCCCGACATATGCCGATATCAAGACCTGGCGACAGAAACTTTTTGGTGATTAGGAAAAATACAAAATGTCGTTCGACATTTTTGATATTTCGGTCAAATGTCGACCAAGTTGGTCCAAACACACAAAAAGTTACATTATTTCTTAATATTTTGAACATTGGGAATCTTATTTAACACCAAAAACATGAGAAAGGGAGAGAGAGATTTGAAAAGAAACAAAATGAAAACATGTGTAGCATGAGATGTAGGTTTAAAGAAGGGAAAACAGAAGAAGGGTTTCATATTTTCCATACCTAGATGCTTGAACATTTGAGTCGACTAGATTAGGGTTCGAGTCAATTAGCTTTACCATCCATGGAGCATTGAAAACCCTCTTTGGAGCAAGAATCAAGAAGCTAGTCCTCTGAAACTTGAAGCTTTGACCTCTCGTCTCAGTTCAGGTACGCAGGAACACAAACCCTCTTCTAGAGTTCCCATATGAAAAATAAGAGAAAAAAAGAAAGAATGAAATAGGAGGGGAATAGCAACATCTCCTTTATTCAATAGATCTTGTGGCTTTGCACTTGCTCTTTCTCCTCACCTCTTCAACTTGAGAGTTGAGTGGGGTTGGACTCTAGAGTGAGCATTCAGTCTTCGAATGTTCAAATAAAGTGAATGGTAGCATGTCTTAACTCTTATGAGGTGATGGTCTATGAAAGCCCATAGACCATCAATATAAAACACTTACAAAAGAATCTTTATTATTAGAACTAGTGAATGACCCCGTACTAACTAAGTATGGGGAATTTCGACTAAAAAAAGTACAGGGAATCAATAATGTTAAATTTACATTATGGAATCAATAATGTTAAATTTATATTTATTAATATTTTAAATAATTATTAAAATTTTAAGAAATATTTATTTCAAAAAATAGCTTTTCAATATTTATTAAAATATGGAAACTTTTATTTTGGTATGATACGTAGAGGGTTAATGATTAATTGATATTGATAGAATGTAGGCAAAAGTGGTTGTGGATAACCACTTTTGCATTTTCTGCATTTTTTTAGGAATTGATTGAAAATGGTGGTAGTGGGTTGTGGGTTTTAGCGGCAACTTCTCAGAAGATGCCATGTGTCTAGTTTTCCAGAAAAAATGAGAAGGCCATGTGTCTGAATGGTGGGGGCTGTAGCCTGGTAGTGGGTTGTGGGCTCTAGCAGGAATTTCTCAGAAATTGCCACATGTCTAGCTTTCTAGAAAATGAGAAGCCCACTTGTCTGAATGGTGGTAGTGGGCTGTGGGCTTTAACAACTTCTCAGAAAATGCCATGTGTCTAAATTTCCAGAAAAATGAAAAAGCCACGTGTCTGAATGGTGAGGGCTGTAGCTTGAAAACCTTCCTTTAATATATATATATATATATGCTATAGTACATGAGGGTCTATGGTAATATTATGGACCTTCACTAAAAATGCCAATCAAACATTACTATATAATATTTATACATATTATATTAATATACTATGATGTATATATTAAAAATATTAATATATAATATATTACTATAAGTTACTTATATAAGTCACTAATAATTTAAAAGTAATATTTGAAATAAAATATTCATAAAAAGGAATTAAAAAGCAAAAACAAAGGAATACACTAATTACTTATAAGAATATAAAGATATGCATTATGTAAAATATTTCTTCATAATATAATAATAAAAATATTAATATAAAATAATATATATCAATACATAGTATATGAATATAAAATAGTATATTGTCGCTACTCACTAATAATATACAAGTTAATAAAAGTTAATATTATAATATACATAATATATTAATATATATAGTCACTAGAAAGGCGAATTAATGCTTCTTTTATCATTTTACAAAATATCATTGCATATTTCCACATATTTCACAAGATTTCCGCAATGTCTATACTTTTTACATATTTCCATCCAACATTTCCGACATATGTCCTATATTTGGGTAATCGAGATTTCCATCAACAACGACATTTTAAACCTTGGGGGGGCAAGAATAGTCTTTTTTTTGGATTAGCATGTGGTGCAAGAAAAGTTAATATTTCCAACTTGATGGCTGAGGTGAATCAGAAGGCTAATTCCAATCAGCAATTTAACATGATAATTGGGATTAGCTTGCCATTAGGTCCTAACACCTCAAACGTATAAAATCAACGGCATGGGACAAAGAGTGGCATAATCTTCAATATTGTAATTACTCTAGAAAGGTTAAATTGATAGATGACAGGTGTTGGGGGACTAGTCAACGGTGGTCATTCCACCAAGAATCTCCAAACATGTGTCAGTTGTTGAGGGCTGAACACTCCTTGGTGGTGTCACTTGGCCACTATTAATTCCCCCTCTTGGTTTGGTGGAAATCTACACATGGGATTACTATCCTTTTCAACCTCCTAGCCGTGTGCTGGACTCAAGCCCACAAGTTCCCTTCCATTATTTC